TGCACTGAAACAACGTTGGTAATGTTAAAGAGAAGGAACTTGTAAAGATATTTAAAAGCTTTATATTTAGGGTTCTTACATCATAACATTACATAGTATAATACTAAAATAAAGTGTATCAGGATCAGCCCCAGAAGTAGACGTTGTTTAAAACCAACTTTAAGCATTAAGCGCTTCTTTCAAAGTGCTTTAGTAGAAGATCAAGATTTTAAAAAGCTTTATATCTATGGTGCTAATTTCATAAAATTACATTTTATAGTTTATATAATAAAGTGTACTAGGATCAGCAGTAGACTTTGTTTAAAACAAACTTATGGTGGTATTAACAAACAATTGTAGGCTTGTCCATACGAGAAGCTACGACGCGCAGCGATTATCATCTGCATGTTGCAACTATTTAGCATTGCTTACATCCTTCTTAAAAGTATACTTTAAAAAAGAACAAAGCCCTTATTGGTAAACATTAAAAATGAACAAAAAAACGCGATCAAACAAATAAACACATACTCAAAATCAAACGAGACAATACTCAAAGCGAAAAAAACAAAAACAAAAACAAAAAATATGACGAAACAAAACAAACAAACAAACGAAAAAAAACCCTGAGCAAAACGAGACAAAGCGAAGGTGTTGCGAACATACAAAAGAAACGGTCACCTTCCTTATCTGTTCGCGGGTCTACGCATTTTGAATTATGTTTATCGAAAAACATAAGGAATTTTCTCTGTCGTGTTAAACAACTTATGTATTATATACTACACTGCTTATTGATATTTGGTTACTGACCCAATAAATAACGGCTTAGTGCTGGGTCCACTGGATAGACTTGAGGTCTATTCCCTCTTGAACCATATCCCATAGAGGGCTGAAAATAAGGTTTAAGGGTTTGAAAGGATTAAGGCTAATAAACACATAAAATGTTCAAGTTCAAGTAAGAAATAAAAGTAACAGACCCCAAGTGAGTAAAAAGTAAGAAAGAAGGGATGAAGAAAGATAGGATGGTTCAAGGGAGGATGAAAGGAAGTTGGGAAGAAATAAATGTAATAGGAGGGAGGGATTGGGGAATGAAATAAGCAGGAAAACTGAGCAAGGGAAGGAAGATAAAATGAGAGGGGGAGGAAGATACACACACACACTAAAAGGATAAAAATCAGATAAAAGAAAATGAGAAAGCTGACATTATCAATTACCTCATTTCCCTTAATCGCTGTACATGGTAGACAATTTTTTCAATCGTGTAATCAACTTCTTCCAAGGTTGTAAATCGCCCAATTCCAAACCTAAAGTTAATACAACATCCAGATACTGTTATTGAACTTTGTTACATTTATCCTTTGCTAGATTTTTCCTTGTATGACTGTGAAAAGCTGACAGCATGAACACGGCTGTGACACTGCAAGGTATATGCCAGACCACTCACATTGCACAAGTATTTCCTCTCCATCCAATCAAATACCCTAAACATGGCATCCACATGGCACGGACACGGTCATGCTAAGGTCAAGGCACTGCCAGACCAATCATATTGCACAAGTATTTCCTCTCCATCCAATCAAATACCCTAAACATGGCAGGGACACGGTCATGCTAAGGTCAAGGCACTGCCAGACCAATCATATTGAGCAAGAAAAAAATCAGCCAATTAAAATTCTAGCAAATACAACTGTCAATGCACGGCACTATGCTTTTCACAGTCATGTGAAAACTGCTCTATGTGAACAGCTACAACACAAACTAACCTTATGGATGAATGAGCAAGATCTTCATCAGCTCCAATTGCTCTCAAGACATAAGATGGTTCTAGAGAAGCTGATGTGCAGGCACTGTGAAATAGAAAGACAGGAAAGTTTGTCAGGAATTTGTAAACAGGCATTTGATAAGTGGTTGATAAGGTTTCAGTCATATCATGGTAAAAAATATTCTGAGAAAAACTTGCTTGAAGAAACACAATTCCCATCTTTAAAAAAATATTAGTTTCCACAAGAGGCTTGTATTCTTTCTATGAAGAATTCAGAATTAATTTAACATTAGGATTATTGATCCTATATGTAGTTTTTAATGTAGTATTGCGTAGTTTAAATAATTTCAACACTAATAATTTAAATGGTTTGTTATTCCTTTTACAGCGCAATGTGCAAAAGTATGGCCACATTTAATTGCATACTTCTTAGCACAGGCTTTTTCCTGCCAAACCAGCATTTGCACGAATTATTTGATCGTAAAACCAGAGAGCTTTGCATCAAAATGTGTCAGTTTAACGTACAGAACCCATGCATAGAAGTGTGCGAATACATTAAACACTGTCACACTTTTACATGTTGCACTGTAAATCATCTTAGCAGATTTTGAATCCACATGTACCTTCCTGAGGAGAGAGCAATATCCTTCAAGGCCATCAACAAGCTTTCCCCCTCAACACAAGCAAATGACAGGTTAACACAACCCATGTATGTATGCTCTGGGTCACCATTTATGATCACATGATTTAACCTTGAAGTTATGCCATCAATTAGATGCTGTCCCAGGGCAGTGATGCGCTTGTGGTCATACTGATAAAAAGATAGAATCAAAATTGTTTATTGTGATGGGATAAAGTGCTGGAATTTTGGGAACTATGTTCTTGTGTAAGTTGGGGTACCAAGCATTTTTTGCAGGTAAAATGTTAGGAGCACTTTTGTAAACCATGGGAAGTGTCCTAGATTACATTGAATTTTCTACATCTCTTGGTCTGTTTAATTAATTAATTAATTAATTAATT